TATCAAAACTATCCAAGAACTCTTTGTAAAAGTAGCTCCTATTCTTTATATATGTAGCTCAAAAATCACACCCAATGGTCTAGGCTCGTACACAAGGGCTCCTCCAATGATTGCACAATGAGACAACTTTTAATGAGCTGGAAATATATTTTTTTCGCATTTAAGAAGGTTCGATCGATCGAACCTGTGCTGTGATCGATCGAACATGACTGAGATCTATCAAACTTTGGCTGGATCGATCCTCCCATGGCGGCGCCTTTTTGGATAAGGACAGATCTAAGATATTTTGGAGAAAGAGACAAAAGTGGTAGGTAGGGTGGTACAACAAGATAAGATGGAATCTTTTCGATCGATCTGAGCATCGTTGGATCGATCGAACTTTGTGGGATCTTTGGATAAGGACAACAGGGCTTGGATCCATCTTGGAGAGTCTAGATCGATGAACTTTCGATCGATCGAAGTATTCTTGAGATCGATCGAACATGCTGATTTCCACACTTTGCTTCAATCTGCTTCCACTTTGCTCATTTCTTCCATCCAGCTTGAGTCAGCTTCTTTTAAGCTCTTATTTGACCGAATTAGCTTATTTTGGGGATAAGCACCTAAAAAGGGCAATAACACGAAATTAGTTTAAAACGAGAAAGTAAGATAGGTAAAGGTCCTAAAATACCTAAGCTTAAGTGATTTATGCGCACTTTTCAGCGCTCATCATGTGTGTGTGTGTGTGTGTGTGTGTGTGTGTGTATATATATAGTTCCTTTGCATTGTACTTGGCTTTTGGGGAGGTTGATGTTTTTCTTTTTCTTTTGAATATTTAGGCTTTGTAATAACTTTCTAAATTTTTGTCTTTTAATTTATTATCGTATGGCCTAGTCAGTAATTTGGCTGAATTCTAAGTTTTTTTTTTTCTTTTTTTTTTTTTAGTAATTATTGTTTGATTGAGTAAATAGATCATTAAACGGGTTAAAAGACCATTTAAGTTAAACAGGTCTTTAAATTAGTCGGGTCGTGTTGTGTATTACACTAACCATTTATTAAACGGGTTATATATGTCGTGTCGTGTCGTGTCACTCGTGTACTAAATAGGTCGTGTTTGTGTTGGAAATTCTTGACACGATTATTAAACGAGTCGTGTTCGGGTTGACCTATTTAGTAGAATACCCCAATATCAACACGACATGATTACGACCCATGAATACAAATTGCCACCCCTAGTCATATATGAGAGTTGAGAGTTGAGACAAATAATCACTATATTTATTAGTTGCGTTTTTTTTTTTTTTTTCTAGGTTTTTTCGTTGATATAGAAATTAAAATTTTTCATTTTCTTTTCTTTCACCTATATATAAATTTTAAAAAATTTCATGTTCATCTTTCTTTCTTTTGTATCTAATTACAAACTTTTCATCCAAATTTAATTGTTTAAAGATGATTATCACCAAATAAAAATAGATTTATTAGATTTTTCTATCGAAAAAGTTATTTAATTTAATATAATGCGCCGTTCATACATTATATATAACATGTGATTCTCTATTTGAGAGAGGGAACATCATCATTCGTAATAGAGCCAATGTAGGCCTAGGGTCATTCCCCCACTCTTTATAATATGTGGTGTGTGTGTATATATATATATATATTTCTCTCGAACAATGGTTGATTTTAGATTCAAAACAAGAAATAATATATATCTCTACTTGAGTGGGAAAGAGGGAAGGGTCAATTATTATTGCGTTGCATCATTTTCTTTTCTTTTAAACCTTAAACACATGTTGATATTTTATTGGCCACCTAATTATAAGAAGAAAGATCCTACTTATGCGGCCTAATACCAACATTGTTCTTAAAACATTGCTAGCTCAGGGAACTAATAAATCATTTGTACAGGTCTCACAACCATTATATTAGAGAGATCCAAAGATGCTATCACATGTAGTTTGTAGAAGATGAGAGAGAGTGGGAGACTAATAGATAAGTTTGATTTAGAGAACGTGAAAAGATTAGGAGTAATTTAGAGAGATCCAAAGATGCTATCACATGTAGTTTGTAGAAGATGAGAGAGAGTGAAAGACTAATAGATAAGTTTGATTTAGAGAACGTGAAAAGATTAGGAGTAATTTTGGTACATAAAAAATACAGTAGGGTAAGTTTTCAAATCCCTTCGAATCCTCCCAATTTTCCTAGGATTTTTCCAAGTTGTGAAATTTCTCCAGAAATCTTATCAAATTCCCAATTCTTTTAAAATCCCAGCCTTTACAAACATATGACATACCTTTCCAAGCCCAATTCCAATTAAATCCTCCCATTCCAAACACAATTAGGAACCGTATAATTAATGGATTTGAAATTGAAGAAAATTTGATTCAAATTAAATTTCTTCCAATTTCAAAACGTCAATTTGGTACCCCCAAACGCATCAAAGACATCAAATTCCCAATTCTTTTAAAATCCCAGCCATTCCAAGTATATGAAATACATTTCCAAATCCAATTCCAGTTAAATCCTCCCATTCCAAACACAACCAAGAACGGTATAATTAATAGATTTGAAATTGAAGAAAATTTGATTCAAATTAAATTTCTTCCAATTTCAAGACGTCGATTTGGTACTCCCAAACGTATCATAAGGCTTGTTAATGATGTTAGAAATCTTGAGTGAGATTTGTGACACTAAATAATAATATTTTAAATAAGTATAACACATAATGTACTTTATTAGAAGCCCTTTTTTTTAGTACAGAAAAATCTTTAAATTTATCTTAATACATCTTTAAATTTATCTTAATACAACATGCAGGTATCAATAATTCTATATTTTATGAAATGGCTTGATAAATTCTAAAGTACTGGGAACCTTTTCTTTTTTTTTTTTTGTCGAAAAATCAAGCAAGTATATAATATATTTAGTAAAATGTACAGAGGAAAAAGAGAGGCCAACCCATACAAACAAGGAGCATGGGGTAGCAACTCAAAGAAGTGGCCCAACAAAGGAATTGGACCCAAATCAAAACAAGACCATGCAGCATGGCTAGTGAGAGCCCATTGCCAAATCAACTAGTCCTTGCTCCCGTATTAGAGGTATCTTGAGAATCGTTTGTATTAAATTATGCACGCTTAATGTTGTGATTTAGATTCAATCACGTCATCCTTTTATTCAACTTTATTACTTAAATTTAATTTTTTTTTTAAAAAAAAAAAATTCACTTGAAATGATGACGTGACTAAATCTAAACTGCAGGATTGGGGTTTGCATAATCCAATAGCGAAATTATCAATCAGAGAATCATTTCCCAACTCTTAGCAATGGCTATTCAATGCTCCGGCCGACTAAGTGGGAGGTCTCTGGTAGGGCTCCGACGAGGAGAAAATGAAATCCTTTATAACTAAGTTTTTGATTAGTTAGAGAGAAGAAAAAGATTTTACAAGACATAGTGGACCACTGGCACAAGAAGTAATGTTACTTCGGATTTGAAAAGAAAAACAATCTCTTTGTACGTAGAAGTAAAATTGCATATATCAAATCCTTCTCCATGCTATCCAACCTCAGCTATGTAAATTGAAATGTTGCTTCTTATATTGGTATACTAGTTAAAAGAAAAAGAACAGAAAAAAATTATTTGACTCCAACCTTCACTATAACAAAAATGATTATTTACTGCATTTAAACTTTAAACCTTGTAAAAAAGTAAAAATTTTATTTTTGAAACTAAATTTTATATTAAAAACTAAATATTAGTTTCAAATAAATTTTTAAAAGAAAACTTCATATTTACCATATTTTCTTTTTTATTTACTGCGATTAATTAACGTGTTTAATTAATGTCTAATTTCCTAATTTAAATTAAATTTATAAGGCACATGACTCACGTTTTTTCCTTCAAAAAACCCGTGAGCGAAAATCACTCAAGAAGAGAACTCCATAGTCTTCTTCACGAGAAAACCCTAAACAATTGAGCGTGGATTGATGATTAAGTTTCGATTGAACGTCGATTTTTTATCATTGATTGTAAACCTACAATCCGAATATATATATCTGAGAGTTTGAGCTTCCGAGTATTTCAAAGAGCTTTATTGGAATTATATCATCACAATCACCGTCTTCATGGTGTTTTTGGTCTTCGCCTTGTTATTCGTCCTTCGATCATCGGCTGAATTTTAATTAGAACCTCTGCAACTTCTGGTAATTAAATTTGTCTCCTTCGATCATAGGCATATATGGAGTTACATAGGTTTCAGTTATTGGTTCATCAACATAAGCAAATTACTATCAACATAAGCAAATTACTATGTTATAAACATATATAGTTGTACCACCTAAATGTAGGTTAACTAATTTTTGGACTAATTTAACCCTGGTAGATGTGTTAAACTATTACTCTTCTTTTTTAAAATAATAAATAAATACGTAAATTAACATGACAAGACTTGAAGTGAATATATATGAGATCATACAAGAGCGGTAAACCTAATTAACCACCTATTTAACAATGCTTTAACATATACTAACCAATAACAACTCCAAATTGTCAAGAAATTCTGTTAACTCTCCCATTCACTAGCTGTTCTGAAGCACCCTAACAAGTAACTACAACCAAACGTTACCTAATGAAACTCCCTATTTGCAGTAAATAACTACACAAATTAAGCCTTTATTTTCACCATGCACGAGTTAGTTTTCCAACTGTTACATTAGCCTTTACAATGCAACTTCAATGTATAAAAACAAAAACCAACTCCTCAAACAAATTAATTCCTTATTAAGTTGAGACTCTTCTTAGATTTGGCTATTCCCTCTCCCACTTCTCTCCCTCTCTCTTACACACACAAGTACAACATATTTGTTGATCAACCCAATTTGTGAAGTTAAACAAGCTTTTAAAGTGGTTTGCAGAAGATTACGTGTATCTAGAGTTTGCGAACAATAGTAGAATATTCTAAAGTGACTAGCGGGTGGATTGATTCTAAGTTAGCAGAAAAATAGACACCTTAGCTTCCATAGGGATGGCTCTAGAAGAAGAGCAACAACCCCTCTTGGAAGATGAACCTACACAAACAAAAACTGCAAAACCAAGGAAGAAACTAACAGTGAAAGCCCTTAGAAAGGCCTTTAAAGGAACAGCCCACTTGTCCAATCATCTCCCCTCCGGTTCAGTCATGGCATTCCAAATCCTATCGCCCATCTTCACAAACCAAGGCCAATGCCACTCCCCGCAAAGCCAATCCAAGACTCTCGCCCTCCTCGGCTTCTGCGGCCTCTCGTGCTTCCTCCTGTGCTTGACGGACAGCTTCAGAGACGAGCGAGGGAAGGTCCGGTACGGGCTGGCCACGTTCCGGGGCTTGTGGGTTATGGATGGCTCGGTCATGGCCATTCCACCCGAGGAGGCAGCCAAGTATAGGCTTAGGTTCGCTGATTTCTTCCATGGGTTCATGTCGATGCTGGTTTTCGCGGCGGTTGCTTTGTTTGATCAGAATGTTGTGAAGTGCTTCTTTCCGGTGCCGTCTGAGGAGGCTAAGGACTTCCTTGCGAAATTGCCTATTGGCGTTGGTGTTGTTTGCAGCCTCTTGTTTGTTGCCTTCCCTACCAATCGACATGGGATTGGCTTCCCTCTCTCTCGTCACTAACTAGCTAGTTAATTCATTATATTTTCTTATCACTATATATATATATATATATATATATATATATATCATGACAATGTGAGAAATTAATTTATAAAGATGTTTGTTGTGCAATGGATGTCCCATTTCATTTGCCTCACTCTGAGGCTTGGAATATGGTTGTCTATTATTATTATTGTTTTTTAATGTGCAACGTACAGACCCGGACGAATCACAAACACAATCATGACAGAAAATGTAAAATCATGCATAACATGATATACAAAAGTTTACATAGTTCGGCATATAATTTACATGTATGGTAAAAATCCGTGAACACCGGGTTTCACTGTGTAAAGAAAACGGAGATAGCAAGTTATCAAGCCTCCAAGCTTTAATTTGTCTCTCTCACACTTTCTATTTCAGCTTTTTAGTGTGCAATTTAGGCTGGGTAACCCATTTCCACTCAAACCCAACCCAAAATTTTGAAACTTGGACTTTAAAATTCACAAATCGGGCTGGGTTACCATGTTGCCCAACCCAAAACCCTATATATATATATATATATATATATATATTTAACTTCCAAATCTTTTTTATTTTTTATTTTTTAAAAAAACCTTCAAATTAAATTATTATCAAGCCAAATAGGTCCTAGGAATGTATGGCCTTCTTGGCTTCCAAGCGGCTGCATCTTATTGCTTTTTAGTTTCTGATATATATTTTACAAATCATGGTGTGAATGAAAATTGTCAGAGAATTATTTTCTTTTTTCTTTTCTTTTAAAAGTTCAGGTGATATATAGATGGTCTTTGCAATGTTAAAGAAATTCAAAGAGAAAAAATGGCAGGATCAATGAATTGAAAACTAAATTTTTCTGGAAAAAAAATATATATATTTGATTTTCAAGCTGAGGAAACTGCATATTTGTTTGAAAAAATAAAATTAAAATAAGATAAGTTTTATTTTTGTTGTATTAATGAAAATTAGAAGCACACAAAAATTAATAATTGAATATTTAAGTTATAATATCAACGGGTTCGTGAGAAAAAAAAAAAATTAAAGTTTTCAAATTGAGATGTAATTTACATATTTGAAAGGAAAAAAAAAAGGGTTGAATGGGTCAACCCGAGTCCGAAAAAATTTGGATTTGGATTACTTGAAAGCCCATATCTAGGGTGACATTGGGCTAGCCCAACCCAACCCGACTTTGGATTGATTTTAGGTTGGGACCGGGCTGGGGTGGGCTTGCCCAACTTGCATCTCTTTTCACGGTCTATTTGACACCAACAAACCCTTGCAACCTTATATAGAGGGGCAGTGCCATGATTTGGTTTCTTTGGGTTGGGTTGGGGAGGGGTGTTACAATAAGTTAATTGTGTTTTCTTTACCAATGAAAACCCAAAATAGAAAAGGATTGCAACATGTCTTAAATTTTTAGAATAAATTTAAAGAATAAATGAATAAAAAATGAATAAGAAGAGAGGAAAGACGGTTACTCCATATAACTTATACATGAGTGCAAGAAAAAGAAAAAAGAAAAAATAAATAAAAAGAAAAAATTTGAGAGAATTTTGAAGGCAAAAAGTTAAGTTTTGATTGAATAAAGGAAATACAATTTTTTTTAATAAACAATCCAAAGAAATTTTAAAAAGAATAAGAGTAAGAAGGAAAAGACATAATTATTATTATTTTTATAAAAAAAAAAAAAAATTTATGGGTGCAGTTTATAATTTTTTACAAGTTGTACACTCCTCTCCCCCCATATATATATATATTTATTTTTTATTTTTTTTTGAGAGAGAGAGAGAGAGGTGTGGTACTGAAGCCGTTGCCCTCTGTCTTTCATCAAGTAATTATTATTTATTATTATTATTATTATATAGTACGTGTATCAACTCCATAACATATATACTATTTAAATTAAAAGTGTCATTCAAAAACAAGATTTCAAAGATCTACCTTCCGAATTCCTGCCATTACCATCATATCTTTGAAGCTTTTATTACGTAAATTGACCTAACTAAATTATGTTGCCATGCATTAATAATTTAATATTGTACCTAGTACCAAATTAGAGGGCAAAAAGAGTGACAGTTCGTCAATCCATTGCGACACCTTGTTTTCAAAGCTGACCCCTGCCAATTAATATATTAAATTCATTTATAATATGGTCCATCCATGCATTAATCTACTTTATTTTTCCATGAACGTGGATTTTAAACTTCATAATGTTAATTTGCTTTCAATAAATTTAGTTTCTAATATAAGAGGTGATATATGTGGCACTCAAGGACCCAAAAAAAAAAAAAAAAAAATATTTTGTGGACTGAGTTTCAATGATAAAATCATTTTCGCACAAATATTAATTACTCATAAATATAGGAAAAGTTTTGTCCAAACCAGCAAGTGCTTAACCTAATTGCTATGAAACACAATGCAAAACGGTAGTATGATATACGTCAAATCTTAAGAAAGTGGAATACATGACTAATATAAATATAAATTATTATTTATAATTTTATTAAATAAGACAATTATAAAATGTTATATATATATATATATATATATATATATATATATATATATATTTTAAAAAAGCTATGCGAATATCCTATGTAATATTATACTCGGTATATACATAAGAAGTCTGACATATAATATTGTTAGTTTTGTTATAGTATTGTTATATGTTTATATTATATAAAGCTTGTATTGGAGAGTGGATAATTGATCAAGTGTTTGAAATGTGTCAATCAAGTGTTTAAATAAATAAATAATATTTTTAAATTATAGACGTATTTATAAAATATTACTCTGTAGATATTTATTAATAAAATATCCCTAGAGTGTCATCGGACTTCGTAAAAATAGCCGTACTTCTTGATTTTCAACCCTTAAAAACATCTTAAAAATTATGTTGGTTTAGGAAGTCAATTCGTTCCAAAGCAAAGAAATCAGATGAAAAACACCAATAATTTTGGGGAAGTCAATCTGTTCCAGGGCAAAGAAATTAGATGAAAAATACCAATAATTTTGCTCTTTCAAAAGTTCTTCGAGATATATATATATATATATATATATATATATATATATAAACAAATTGTCATCGTTGAGGGTCGTAGAAATGAAAGTTTACATTTTTCTAAGTTTGAACTTATATATTTTCCTAAAGTTAAATAAGTGTTGTTTGTCAATCCAATTCAACAGTTAGTTATGAAAGAATTAAAAGTGTTTAATCAATTAAGTAACGGACTAAATATCATTTTAAATAAATTTTTTTTTCCTAGTTACGGGTTGATATTGTTAGGCTACTGCCCGTTGGTATTATTTAAAATAATTAATTTTCCCTTAAAACGAGATGAAATTTTTAGTGACCGTGATTTCACTTATTACTAAATGTTAAATACTTAAAATTTAAAAATTAATAAAAATTATGAATTTACAAGTATGCTACTTAATCGATTAAGTAACGGTCTAAATATCATTTAAAATAATTAATTCTTACTTAAAATGAGATAAAAATTTTAGTGACCGTGCTTTCACTTATTACTAAATGTTAAATACTTAAAATTTAAAAATTAATAAAAATTATGAATTTACAAGTATGTTACTTAATCGATTAAGTAACCGTCCAAATATCATTTAAAATAATTAATTCTTACTTAAAATGAGATAAAAAAATTTAGTGACCGTGATTTGACTTATTACTAAATGTTAAATACTTAAAATTTAAAAATTAATAAAAAAAATTGAATTAAGTTTAAAACTTGAAAATTTCAACTTTTATGTCACAACACCACCTTATAGATTTCATTGAAATCGACTTTAGAGACTTGCTCTACATCAGCCAAAGTTCAAAATTTCCAATTTATATAATGGGTTCAGAAATTCTGAGAGACAGAAAGTAACTTGAGGAGGGTTAATTTCTCGTTTGAGTTAAAGATGGATAAACTAAAATGTTTTTGAGTAATGAAAAGTATATTTACATTACAATCATGGCTTACAGTATCGGTCACAGTAGCGATATCGGTAGTGATTGCGGTGTAACGGGCTTGAACAAAGTCAGTGTAAATTGGTCTATTCGAATTACGTATAAAACTTAAAAAAAGATCACGTATTAGTTGATACGTCGTGTATCAGACATACGGCGAACCATGGTCACAACATTGTAACTAGGGACCGACAACTTTTGAGGTGTATTGCAATGTTACAACTCAACACAAATAGCATAATTATTTAAAAATACCTTCATTCTACAAATAATCTCGTTTTAATTTTATTTTACTTAAAAAATTAATTAGTATTTTACGTTGATTTTGACAGTCAATCAAATACTTTGTTACTTAATGGTGGTATCTCATTAATCTCCCAAAAGATTAGTTGAGACTCCGATTTGAGTTTTTTTTGCTAATAAAAAAAAAAAAAAAAAGAAAAAAAAAAAGAAAGAACAAATCTTGACTACTCTGTCAACTGGGCACGTATGCTTTCTTTTTCAAATTAAGTACTCCATTTATTTACCCCAACTATTATTTATTTATTTATTTTTTATCAAGTCAAACAACTCCCCCACTAATCCAAAGTCTAACTTTTATGTCTGAATTGTTAATTAAGGTCAAATAATTTATTGCTAATTTAATGATAAATGATGAAGATACATAGATTTTTAAGAATCAAATCCTAAAATCTAAATCAATCTCACATTTGCAACCGACGCCCAAAGAAACTCATGCATCGTGCAATTTGTATTTAAAATTCTCAAAATTGAAATACGAAAAGGAAAATGATATTTAAAACGAGTTCAACGAATGCTTTACATGATATGAAATGACATACTGTACACACATAAAACATATGTACAATGAAAGAATTTCATTTTTTTTTTATCGATATATCATTTTATTATTTATTTATAAGGTGAAAAAGTAAGACGATACTGTCCGTAATTATTTAAGAATAAACCATTTTTGTTTAAAGGACCTAAAATGAGTTAGACGAATGCATTACATGATATAAAATGATATACCGTAGACATATAAAAACATGTATAACAAAATAATTTCATTTTTTTGGATTGATTTATTATTTTATTTATTTATTTACAGGGTGAAAAAGTAAGACAATATAGACCGTAATTGTTTAAGAAGAATTTATTTTTGTTTTATTTATTACCAAAAAAAAAAAAGTGATATTGAAAACAAATGTATTTGTAAAAGTTTGATATCATACCAGATATGAATATGAATATATAATGATTCCACAGCCCACCATGACTTCCATCCATCTCCACTTTTACTACTCCATATTTATATATTTGAATTTGAATTTATCATAATCCCCAACTCCAAAATAGTTGTTGTAGATTCATCACAGCTGATCTGGCCCACTTATTAAACCATCAAATTGGTAAGTTTTTAACAATGGTAAAACTTGCAAAAAAAAAAAAAAAATTAATAATAGAAATATTTCAAACTCAAAGCTTTAAAAAACTGTCCGATCCAACTCCTAAACTCTCATAATAACATCACTGCTATCCCCACGCGCCTCAAGCGCGTGACAGTTGGCCCACCAACATTTATTTAAGGAAAGAATAGGCTCTTAAGTAGATAAAACATCACGCTGACACCACGCGCTATCCAAGCACGTGCATACACATCATTTGAATTTGATGACATGGACGGAGCGTGTAATACACGATATTCCAATTCACCTGGGAATCTCTCTCCATTGGAAGAGTCAACCTGATCATCGTACAAAAAAAATGAAACATAAATCGCGAATGAATTCAGTTCGATATAGAAATGTTTTTTTAGAGAGAGAAAGCCCAAACCCGAATGGGAATCTAGAGAGAGAAAGAGAGGAGAGAGAAAGAGAGGAGAGAGAAACTCACCACACAAAGGCACAGACGGATTCGTGAATCAAAGCGTTCGATTTCAAAGCATCTGACAATACTAACCCTTGAAAATTCTAGTTTATTGTGCGATATAGATATATATATATATAAACATACATATTCATATTTTCACACACCAAACACATAAATTTTCACACACCAAAGCATTACTCTACACCTACGCGTTACGTTTTCGATAAAAGAAAAGAAAAGAAAAGAAAAAACAAGAGAGAGGGATAGAGAGAGAGAATGGGAGAGATTAGAGAGAGAAAGACTGTTCGTTCGTTTGTTCGTTGTTTCTCTTTAAATCAAAAATTCCAATCTCTTCTAATTTTATTTTCTTCTTTTTTCATACAACAAAACAATCTCTTAATACATTTATTTATTATCGTTATTCTCCAAATCTCACCGCACATCTCCATCACAGTCGATAGAGATTATATAGAGAGAGAAAGTGCAAGACTTTTAGAGAGAGAGAGAGTGAAATTTGTATTCCCTTTTCGTCAATACCAAAAACCAAAATAATAATTATAAGAAAGATCAAACCATCGATTCCCAAATCTCTCTCTCTTCAATTACGAAACCCTAGTTAGATAGAGAGAGTCATAGAGGCAGTTTTAGTGAGAGAAGCGGTAGAAGTTTTTGATCTTCTGCAATGGAGGATTTGATCTTCTCCATGTCTTCGAAGCTATAATTTCAGAGAAGTAGAGGTTTTTAGAGAGAGAAAGAGAGGTCTGATCTGCTGAAATGGAGGGTGGTGGTGGTTCAGAAGGAGAGAAGAAGAAGCCGCCGGAGGGAGAGAGCAAGGTGAAGCGGAAAATGAAGACTGCTTCGCAGTTGGAGCTTCTCGAGAAAACCTATGCTGGTTGATTGATTTTTTTTTTTTTTTTTTTGGTGTTAATTTTTTGCTTCTTTTTTTTGGTTGTGTTCATTGTTCTGATTTGATGTGAATATGGATTTGTTTTTTGTTTAGTGGAGACTTATCCATCGGAGTCGTTGAGAGCCGAACTGTCGGTGAAATTAGGTCTTTCAGATCGGCAGCTGCAGATGTGGTTCTGCCATAGAAGGCTGAAGGATAGGAAGTCACTGCCTGTGAAGCGGCCGCGGAAGGACTCTTCGCCGGCAGCAGCAGTGGCGTCGTCCAGTGTAGTTGGGGATGAATTAGTACCTGGTGAGGTAGGGAATGAACACGGTTCGGGTTCGGGTTCAGGGTCAAGCCCGTTTGGTCATATGGACTCACAACAGCGAGTTGCTCCCCGAGCTGGGGCTGCAGTTGCTCGGATTGGAGCTGAAATGCCGGCAATAAAGAGGTACTATGAGCCGCCCCAGGCGATATCAGAGCTTCGAGCAATTGCTTTTGTGGAGGCACAACTAGGGGAGCCATTGAGGGAAGACGGTCCTATTCTGGGAATGGAGTTTGATCCCTTGCCGCCTGGTGCTTTTGGGGCGCCCATTGGTAATTTTGTGCTTGTGCCTTATATCTCTTTTAGTCATCTCAATGCACATGGATTTACTGGCATTGGCATTGCATCAATGATATGGATTAAATTTGATTAACAATGCGCTTCTCATTTGATGTTAAGTTTTGGTTGGTTGATTGCTATATATATATATATATATATATATATATATATATATATATATGTTTTTTTTTTTGGTTCTTTCTGTTTTGCTAAGTATGTCTCATTGGATATACTATGTGATTATCTGCTAATTGTGTCATTATAGTTAGTACAGTTGACTTGCTAAACATCTGTTTTGTGTGCAAACTTTGATGGTATGAGCATGATGCATTGACAACCGGTGGAGGAGATGGATGGGATTCAAATATGACGCATTAACAACGAGTGGAAAGGATGGAAGGGACTTAAGTATTACGCATTGACAACTAGTGGAGGAAATAGATGGGACTCATTTGAGGAATGCTATTCGAGGTGGTTATTTATAAGATATGTAATAAGTGTTGATATAACAGTTTTATGGCTTAGGAGGAAACCTAGATAGGTTTGATTGAGGTTATGACATTAGAGTAGAGCAGAACAAAAAAAATTAGATTGATGTAGCCAACCCCAAGTTGAGCACAGAACGAAAGGATAAGATTGATTTGGCCAATCCCTAGTAGTTGGTGAAATACTTTGTTGAGCTGAGTGAGCAAGAGTAGATATCTAGTCTTGCATGTGTAGCGTACTTTGGCACACAATTTGATGGATTCCTTATGGAAGTCTACTAGAGTTGTGTATGGTGTGGTGTAAGAGAATGTGATTTTTCTTTTTTCTTGTATAAATCTTATAAAAGCAGTCAACTGTAATTACAGAATTTTAATTTTATAAAAAATTAAAAATTCTCATTTTGGTATGTGCGAAGCTACTAAAATGACATACCAATTATGGTATCAGTCCCGTTAGAGCTTTTTGGTAATGGAGAAATCAAAGAAGGATGAAAAGGATATATTGGAAAATATGCTCAAAGGAGATTTATGGGGAGGCTATGCCTTGGAATTGGCCTTGACATGAATGTTTATAAGTTTTTTCAAGTATGAGATTTTTTTTTTATCTTCATGCCACTGTAATGTGCTGATATATATATATTTTCAATATATTTAGTTTATGTTTTTCAAAGGGATATCTGTCTCTTTTGTGGAGAGTGTGAATTTCATACTGAGCGTTTGTGTTTTTAAAATCATAATATTAGTTAACTAAGATACCATGCATATTGTCCGGTAGAAAAATTGCACACGTTAAGTCAAAGTAACTAACTCTAAAACTCGTGTCCAACAGCAATTATGATGATCAGGAGCTATTGCATTTAGCAAATAACAATCTTATCAATTAATGGCATTAGATTTCATGATGTTTTCTTAAGGTGGAGCCATTTAGTGTAATCGAAATATGAGAACATGTTGACTTAAAGTGTCTCACTCTGATGGTTGAGAAAGACAATCTTATGTCATAGGTTAAGTTTCTTATAATATTGTAAATAAAATGTATAACTTTATCATTGAGTGACGACAATATCAAGTTATACGATACCGGTGAACTTAGAGTGAGCTCTAGTGCATAAATCTCATTTATGTATCTACTTCACCTGCAATGGAGCTTGGGGACAATGGTGCATTTTAGGCTAAAGAATCATATAAAATGTCCAACATATGAATGGTCGTTAACAATGAATCACATTTTTTTAAAGAAATAGATGGTATGTTGAACATGAACAGAAAATTGGCTTTCGTCGTGCATAATTCCAGCAGTATATAGAACATAGGAGGCCCTTTTGAGGCTCTTAATTTGGTAGGCTAGGATTGAGGATGAGCATGGGGAACTTTTTACTTTTTTTTCTTCTCTCTTTTCATTTTTCTTATTGTGGGATTTTGTGCCTTACTCTTCCTTGCCTTCATGACATGAAATATAAAATTGCTTAGTTGGAATATCTGCAGACATTTATCCGATAGAGCCTCTATTATCATAGAGGTGTGTGTGTATGTGGTGTTTGTGTGTGTCAAAGCTTGATTTTTTTCTTTTTCTTTTCTTGGATAGAACGATAGACATTAAGACAATTTTGTTGAACATACGGATATAGTTGTAGTTTGACTTGCCTCAAGTTGCATCAGTTTATGTGCCTTAATGTTCTGTTGAGCTGAATGAGCCTGATATTCTCTTGTATTGTACATTGAACAGTGACAGTAGGGCAGCAGAAGCCAGCAGGACGAGCCTACGAGCCCAAACTCTATGAGCGTCCTGATGCTAAATCAATCAAGGTTACTTTTTATATTTTTTGGGGAATATCCTCTTCTCATTATGCACTGGCAGTGGCAGTGGCAGTGCCAGTGTCATGAATGATGTTTACAATGTCGGCTACCTTTTAATTTAATTTAATTTAATTTATTTTTATTTTAAAGATAATGCCATCTGCTTATCTGTGGCAATTTCATGTTGGCTGTCCTTATGTAAAATTTTGACTTGATATATTACTGCTGCTGCTATTCCAAGTATGCTAATATTACTGTTAGTGACAACAAAGTTTAACAGATGGGGAAGTCTTAGGGTACATGATCCTATATTATTTGATATCTATTTTTAATAGCAAGTACGATCCTTAGTGACATTTTCTCGACTTGATTAGATACGTCTTTAGGCAATTAAGAAACTTATACATTTTCACTTACAAATAGTTTACAACATAATAAACATTCAGAAATGTGTTGCAACAACAAAATTTGCACAGATGATTCTAAGTAGATAAACTAATATTGCTTTATTTCTCTTTTTTCAAATGTGAGGAAACTAGATACATTGTGGAGTTATTCATATGTATGTTAACCATTCGTTGCATTTGATAGTCTTGATTGTATATCCAACTTTTGAAAAAATTTCCTTAATGGTTTGGTTGCTCAAGGAAATTTTATATTTCTTTGTTAAATTATTTAGGGTACACTGAGTTTTTTAATATATAATATCGCAATATCTTTTTGATGCACACACATATAAGCACATCCCCTGTTCTAAAATTCTTTTAAGATCAAGTTTTTGAAAGTTGAACATTTACCCCTTGTCGCACGCTCACCTGCTCTCACTTTATGCATTTTCCCAAGTTATTCCCTTAGTCCAATTTATGCATTAAGGATCCGCTTAATTCTTCTTACAACATACTATTTGAAACTGATGAAAGATGCAACACCACTTTGAACACTGTTTAGGGATGCGGATGGTATGTTGAAAGGTGACCATGGCTTTGGTGCCGTTTTCTGTATGATACCTCCATCAGACTCAGCTCCCCTTTAGAAATCAGATTGGTATAATTAGGATGCTAACCACAGCTGCTTTTGAAAAAAGAGTGTTTCTTTTATTGGAGAATGACATCCCTGATTCCTGCAATGCTTTATCAGAAATGTTTGCATTAATTGTTTCCCAATAAATATTTCATTGGGAACTTCTCAGGGCCTTAAAACTTAGGTCGTTTACTTTTGCACTTCTACTCCCCCCCTCCGGCGCGTTCCTCCTTGGAATCTAAATTTTCTTTATGCCACGATCTTGATTCTCAGTTCTTGAAATTTAGCTTTCTTTGTTTGTTCGTTTGTCATTAGTTGACCAAAGGGAAAAAAAGAGTTGAAATAATTATGGGAAACTTTGAAATGGTTAATCCTCAGGGTGCTGCAAGGGCTCTCCATGAGTACCAGTTTCTTCCAGAGCAGCCATCTGCTAGAAATGATACATATGATAGAGCTACTCCATCTCACTATTTTGGTTCACCAACTGATGTTCCAAGTGCCAGGACTCCATTATCTTCTGGGCGTTCTTTTATGCATGGTAATGAGCAAGGTAGCTCAGGATATGGTTTTCAAGGTCAGATGCCAAGTTTAAGTCTTTTGCCTCAGCAAGGCAGGCAGGGCCATCTCTTGCCATCAGTTTCAGGAGAGCATGACATTGTTTCACGAAATATTGGTGTGGATTCTCATTTTGGCGCTCACGCAATCACTGGACTAGACAATCCATTTATACCGTCTGATAGGCGGGTTGCCCATGATGACGACCCTTCACGGATGGAGAGAAAACGCAAGGTACTTTACAACACCATGAAGTATGTGATTCTTTTTTTTTTTTTAAAATTCGGTGTCATATATGTGTAAGTTACTTGCAGAACGAAGAGGCAAGAATTGCGAGGGAAGTTGAAGCCCATGAGAAAAGGATTCGAAAAGAGCTTGAGAAACAAGATATTTTGAGGCGAAAGGTTTTGCTCTTATAAATCCTGTGTTCTTTTCTTTGAAGCTTTTTTAGTTGTATACTAAATTTATCAGTCTTGTGTCTTAAGAGAGAGGAACAAATAAGGAAGGAAATGGAGAGGCAGGACCGTGAAAGGCGGAAGGAAGAAGAAAGGCTGTTGCGTGAAAAGCAGCGGGAGGAGGAGAGATATCAAAGGGAGCAAAGGCGTGAAATGGAACGAAGGGAGAAGTTTTTGCAAAAAGAATCCATCAGAGTAATTACGGGATGCTACTATAAACTATATGGACTTGTCTTGTTTATCTAGGTAACTGAGATAAATCTTTTATTTCCTCAGGCTGAGAAAATGAGACTAAAAGAAGAGTTGCGCAGAGAGAAAGAGGCAGCAAGGCTTAAAGCTGCTAATGATAGGGCTACTGCTCGCAGAATTGCCAAAGAATCAATGGAACTTATTGATGATGAACGGTTAGAACTCATGGAGTTAGCGGCTTCAAGCAGGGGGTTGACCTCAATATTGGCCCTTGACAGTGAAACATTGCAAAATCTTGAGAATTTAAGAGGTGATTATGCTTGTTGTATCATATTATTTTTAACAACATATCTGCTCTAAAACTTATTTGCACATCTAATTGTTGTCGATATTTATTTTAAATTAATAAACATGGTATAAGCTTAAACAGGTTTTGTTTCACTTCACAAGCAGCTGATATGCATCCTGAGCTCTATAACCTTGTGTGCCTTTATTTGTTGATTTTATAATTTTATGAACTAGTTGAAATATTTTGACTCTCCCATTGCTGGTACCCAAGCTCGGATGCGAAAAAGAGCCCGGTTGGTATCAGGTCGACAGTCGACTGTAAAATCTCTGTTAAATCTTTATTATGATTCATCAGAAAAAGAGAATTCATGTGGCTGACCTCATTCATATAAAGATTAAGGCAAGGATGAAGATGATGAACTTCTTGAAATACCTCCAGTCATGAATTTGCCGCAATTTTATTTGAAGTGGAACTCTCATTATTATTATTATTTTTTTGAAATTAATTTTATTTTCTGTACGCATATAGTGGTGAGTTTGCTTGAGTTTTGAACAATATTGGCTTTGATTGTATGAAACAGTTTAAAAATCTCAATTATACAGAACCGTAACTTGTTGAAACTTTAAATAGTGTAATTTGTTTAGTAATGTGATTTAAGATTTGTTTAGTGTGATGTCTACTCATTTTGCATATTTTTTCTTTTTATTTATTTTTGGGTGGGGTGGGGTTGTAAAATGTGGTTATTTTGAATCATCCATTGGATATGGTTAGAAATGGTCGTTTGCATTTGAAGGATGCAATGCCACAAATAGGATCCTTGAGTTGTTAAGTCTTTAGATGATTCCAACACAATTTATTTTGTACTTTTTCTAGGATACAATTTCTAGGGATTAATATATGTAATATTGAATCCATCATATTTATTCTTTCCCAATTCCATCATATAACTGTTTGTCTCAACTGTTCTAATATTGTCCTTTTCTTTTTTATTACTTATTTTTTGGGTTGTGTGTATAAATATTCTGAGTAGCTAACAAGTTTTAAATGCTTTAGATATGCTCACTGAATTTCCACCCAAGTCTGTGACCTTGAAAAGGCCTTTTGCAATTGAGCCCTGGACTGATTCCGAGGAGAACATAGGGAATCTTCTTATGGTGAGATTGACTTAATTTTTTTCTTGTATGATTCCCCACTACACCCCCCTTCCCTTATTATTGATACATTTTACTTGAGGGTTTCGTTTTAATACATGCGTACAAATTAATTCTATAGTCCCTTTCAGATGAAGTAGCCTTATATCAATGGGATGTCTTGTCCTGTTTGTAGTTTTCTTTTCACTGATGTGAGATTAGGGGTGACAATTCGTGTTGGCGGGTCATAATCGTGTTGTGTTAACATATGACTATTATGTTAAATTGGTCAGAATCCGAACACGACCAGTTTAATAATCGTGTTAGACCCTGGACACAAACACGGGTTGTTTATTAAACGGGTAACCCAACCCGTATAACCCGTTTATTAAACGAGTCATGTAATGAAACGACTCGTTTAATGACGTGTAACCCATTTAACTTAAATGGGTCATAAAACCCTTTTATTAACTTAAGCATTGTTGAATGATTTAAATATTAAAGTTATACCCTAACAGCATAAGCTTTTGGAGTAGTAGGTTGTTAACTTGGTATCAGAGCAGGGTATGTCTTGTGTTCAAACCTCAACGTCACCCTGATTTAAAATTGAAAACACGTGCTAGACCAAAAGAAGGCCACATGTGAGGGGGCGTGTTGGAAGGATTTAAATACAGCGAGGGAGAAACTGTTTGGGAAGTTCAGAAGGCATAACATCTGAAAATTCCCCCAAAATTTCAGCCACTATTAAAGTTACGTCCTCTCTAACAACTTAAGCTTTTAGAGTAGATGGCAATTAACATATAAAATATAAGTATAATGAAAAAATTGAGATAATGGGTGGCTAAAGTCATGAGAATGAGAATAAATAGGACAATATAATATAAAAAAAATGCCAAAACAATATGCATAGTGGATTTATATTGAAATGATAGAATTGTCCATAGTAGTTGGGTTAAAACAAGCTACAATTAATCGGGTTGACCAGACACAATTATGACAATATGAGTCTAATGCAGTTAAATAAGTTGAGCCCCAAAACACGAACACAACATGATTAATTCAACGGGTTAAAACGGTTGACACAATTATGACACAAACACGATTAAGGTCAATCCAAACCTGCTAACTTTGTGCCATGTTTGAGTCATGTTGGCGGGTTATGTCGAATTTTGCCACCCCTAATACTTAGTATACAAAATGTGATATCACAAGATATCGTATTTCATTCATCTTGTGTTTTGAATGGTGATCTGTAGACCTGTCGAGGAGAAGAGAATTTCAGGAGAAGGTTGTTCATGTAAACTAATATATCGTCCCTTAGTTTTCTAAAATTCATTTTGTACATCATTTTGTTCCATTGCAGAGCATGCATGGATATGCAATGTTCTCGATGCATCTAATGGTCTTTACTTGTGAACTAAATTTACAGGTTTGGAGATTCTTAATTACTTTTGCTGATGCTCTTGGGCTTTGGCCGTTTACTCTTGATGAGTTTGTCCAATCTTTTCATGATTATGTAATTTCTTTAGGTCCTTGTATTTTTATATTTAATATTTTCTTTTTTGTATTAACAATATTTATCCTTTCTTGGTATCCATTTATACCTGCTCCCTATTTATTCAGGATCCAAGGTTGTTGAGTGAGATACATGTAGCTCTTCTTAGATCCATCATTAAAGATATTGAAGATGTAGCAAGGACGCCTTCCACCGGGCTGGGAGCAAATCAAAATAGTGCAGCTAATCCTGGAGGTGGGCATCCACAGATTGTTGAAGGGGTAAGCTTTGTTATGTAGTTGGTTTGCATGACCGCTTCAACTTTGTCCTGAATTCTGGCTCTATGTTTTGTTGCTCACTTTGAAACAATTTTCTTTATTATTTTGTCTCAGGCATATGCTTGGGGTTTTGATATACGCAGTTGGCAACACCACTTGAATCCGTTGACATGGCCTGAAATTTTGCGGCAATTTGCTCTTTCTGCCGGATTTGGACCAAAACTGAAGAAAAGAAGTGTTGACCAAACATATCCTCGTGATGAAAATGAGGTCTGTTGTCTTTCTGTTTGACTCTTTCTCGCTGCTACGCAAAATGACTACTTTAATTGTAACATAAATTCTTATGTAATTATTATTATTATTATTTTGTTAATTGTAGGTTTTTCCTATTTAGTTTTAGTTATAAGTATCTCATTGGCCATTCACCATTTAATGATTCTGGTTCATGCATGATTTCATTAATGAGAGCACTGCTGTTTACTTTAGTGGATACCTGGTTCGCAGTGTCATTTGAAATTCGTATCTTGTTTTTATAGTAGCAAGCACATCATAGTAAGAAATCTTTCTCTGCTTTAAGTTTATTCGTGCCATGAGTGTCCTATTCTATGTTACATGGTATCTCCTATCTCCCTTCACATACTTATGTTGACCAAGACATGACATGGTATGGGTAGGGGATATGTCTCCGAGAAACAAAGCCAAATCCGACACCTGGATTTTCTACCTTTGATGATTGAAGAAGTAAAACTCAAATTTGATATAAGAGAAAGAATAGCTTCTTATATATGAGATAGATAGAAACTCCTTTCTTATCTCAATCCCATTTATAGGACAACAACATCAGACAACACATATATATGTTACATACAATGTATTTAATACATAGTACCCGTATCGAACTTTTGAACACATTTTCCCGTGCCCTAAGATATGGGATTTGGTGGGGCCTAGTGCTTAGACTTACACCCACACCCAATACTCTTACCCCGAGTCCATGTATGTAGGGGTGCAAATGAGCCAAGCCAAGCCGAGCTTTGGCATTTTCGGGCTTGGCTCGCCATAGTCATGGAGGTGCTCGGGCTCAGGTGAGCTTGCCATAGCCAAGCTCGAGCTTGGGCTCGTTAGGATATCGGCAGGCTCGGGCTTGGCTTGTTTTCCAACATATTTATATATATACACACATATATACTGTTATGAAATACTGAAGGTCCAAATGGAGAGGTACCGATCTTTGTAGAACATGAGAGATGAGAGGCAGAATGATAGGTGTCAAAGTTGAAGAGAGAAATAGAAAATGAAGAACATGAGAATATACGTGGTTCAGCCACTAGGGCTTACATCCACGGCACACAAAACTCAAAGGGCTACATATCTTTATTATACTCTCTCTTAAGATTGTTTACAATGAGCACCTCTATTTATAGGTGAAAGAACAAAGCGATAAATATGGAAAATACATTAATGGAGGATTCATAAAATCAATCCCATAAATCACTCCAATTATATTTTATCATAGACTAAAATCACTCCCATAATATTCTCAGAGCAATATTCTGTGGAGTAATTTAAGGTTCCTATAATAATATTCTCTAACACCCTCCCTCAAGTTGGTATACGGAGATTTTAACTCAAGTGTCCAACTGAAAACTAAGTACGAAGCTGTTGAGAGTCCGAAATGAGTTCCAAAGATCCGAGATGAGTTGATCCGAAGATCCGAAACGAGTTGATCCGTAAATCCGAAACGAGTTGAGTATAGAGTATGGTATGATAAACCTGCTCTGATACCATGTTAAAGTTGAGGAGAGAAATAGAAAATGAAGAACATGAGAATATACATGGTTCAGCCACTAGGGCTTACATCCACGGCACACAAAACTCAAAGGGCTACATATCTTTATTATACTCTTTTTAAAGATTGTTTACAATGAGCACCTCTATTTATAGGTGAAAGAACAAAGCGATAAATATGGAAAATATGTTAATGGAGGATTCATAAAATCAATCTCATAAATCACTCCAATCATATTTTATTATAGTCTAAAATCACTCCCACAATATTCTCAGAGCAATATTATGTGGAGTAATTTAAGGTTCCTATAATAATATTCTCCAACAATATGTAAGAGCTTGCTATAGCCGAGCTCGGGCTCGGGCTCGTCAGGATATCGACAGGCTTGGGCTCGGCTTGTTTTCCAACACACATACACACACACACACACACACACACACAAACACATATATACCGTTATGAAATACTGAAGGTCCAAATGGAGAGGTATCGATCGTTGTAGAACATGAGAGATGAGAGGCAGAATGATATGCAAGAGGGTAGGGCAGAATCAGATATATATATATATATATATATATATAATACATGATAGATTTATGTATACGTATACAGTTTATGCACACAAACAAATCTTATGTATAGAATTACAGATGTATAGCTTATTTATGTACTCATACCTTGAGATTGATTGAAATTGTCAAAAATTTTGCATCGTTCTCCTTCGATCGCAATTGATTTCACTAGTCGTCCATTGATGTCTTCAAAGAATATGAAATACTGAAGGTTTGAAGTGAGAGGCACTGATCGTTGTTGAACGTGAGAAGACGGAGAAGCCTGGTTGCAACATCTTTTTCCAAAAATTTGGTTGCAACATCTTACGGCAATGTGTTTTTTTTTTTTTTTCAAATCTGACCCTTTTAATATGTTATAAAGTTAATCCAACGGCTGAGATAGTGAGATGAAACTATGATTTGGGCCAATGGCGGGCCAATGAAACTATATATGAATTTGGGCTGAATTTGTATATATGGCCTATCGGATAGGTTTTAAAATATAATGATTTATATTAAATATATATATTTATGTAAACTAGCCTGCTCACTTGCTGAGCTTAACATTGCTTAAGCTCCGCTCGTTTACTAAACGAACTAGCCCGAGCCGAACAACTCGGTTCATTTGCATTAAGGTCCTAGTACGCTAGTTTTGCAAACTTTTGTTGTCATAGTAACTAGTGTTCAAGGCTCCTACTAATTTTTCATAAATGCAATCATTGAACGGATTGTTTGGTTATTAAAATATAACCAAATACAAATCCTTGCAGTGTTGGAGGTTGGCTACTAAGTATGGTTTATTCGTGGCACTAGGTATTGGAGAGGAAGTTAGGGGTTGATGGGGGATTTAATTCTTTCCTTGTTGGAGGATCATATGGGGTTTTGAAGAATAATTGCTTTGTTGTGGGGAATGGAAACAGGGTGAGATTCTAGATTGATACGTGGTATAGTGATAAGGAGTCAAAGATGTTTCCAATTTGCTTCAGTTTGCAGTTGGTAGGAAGGCCTGGGTGGCAGATTGTACAAGGTTGACTGAAATGGGAGTGGGCTAAGGGCTTTATGTAGGAGCTGTGCGGGATTGAGAATTTTAGGGCAATGGATATGTTGGATATGCTTCATTACTTATGGATATGTTGGATATGCTTCAAGAGAGATGATGTCGTATGGTGGATTTGGAAGGTGAAAGTTCCTTTTAAGTTGTTATTTTTGCTTGGACTTCCTTTCTGTAGAAAACTGACTATTAATTACTCGATTAAGAAGAAGAAAATGCTCCCTAATTAGTGTTGCAAGTGTATTGGAGTTGGGGTGATATCATTTGTTGTTGCATTGGTGGGTAGTGAGAGTATAATGGACTCTTCTTCTGTCCCTCTTTGGAATGCCGTGAGTCGGTTGATCTAAATAGATATTTGTATTAGCCTCCCCCCCGATTGCTTAGGTTCTTATTTTTCCTTGTATAGAGCCAATGTTCATAGGTTGCACCTTAGCAAACTTTTGTGTGAACCGAGTTGTCCATGAACAACTCAGGCTAGGCTCATTAAAAGCTTGGCTCTGGCTCAGTAAATGAGTCAAGCTCGAGCTCAATTTTCAGGCTCGTGTAGTAAATGAGCTAAGCTTGAGCAATGTTAAGCTCGGCTCGTGAGCAGACTCGTACATAAATATATTTAGGGTTAATTACACTGACACCCCTTGAGGTTAGGTTAAATCTCACCTAGATGAACATTTTGGTTTAACTTTCACTTAGACCCCATGTTAGTTTTTCATTTAAAAAAGGTGTGAAATGTTATTTATGCCCTCACTTATTCAATATATTTTTATTAAAAATATCAAATTCTTTAAAAGACAAAAATACCCCTAATTATTTTTAACACCTCTCATGTGTGTGTGTGTGTATATACATATCATCCCCAATTCAATCTCCATCATCTCTCTCTCAATCTCCATGCCGCCGCCGCCACCACCACCGCGTGAAACATCCAATCGCGAATTAGTACCATGACTGATGATAATCTGAAGATGCAAGACATCGCCGATTGAATAAGAAGTGGAGGATGACTGATGATGGTCTGAACCCTGATCAATTTGAGCCGTCGACCCATGATGATGATCTGAACCTAGATCGAAGCATGTTTGTGTTGGTTCTTCAATTTCTTCCCTCTCATCTTCATTAAATTGAAGTTTATCGGTCTAAAACAAAGGGAAGCTCGCCGGAACTAAAACAGGCTCAAACGGAGGTTCATTGGAACGAAGTACCCTGAAATTGAAGTTCGTTTGAACAGGAGCACGTCGAAACTGTTGGGTCTGTTGATGAGTTTCGCTGGAGGTGATGGGTAAGCTTCTTGGTCGCGGGAAGTATTCGTGCTTGGGGTTCGTCGGTCTGAACTGGGCTTCACCGGATTTAGGGCTGGGTCGTGTAGTTTGAAGCTTCGTTGAACTAATGGCTCTCTGGCCGTCGCTGGTCTTCAAGCTAATGGAGCTTCACATCGGAATGAGGTGGGTCTGTTAATGAAGTTGGCCGAACTATTCTTGCTGGAACTGTCGGAGATGAGGAAACTCAGGAATTTCTCAGTACTCCCTCTCAATCTTCTGAGACCTACATGATTGGGTTCATTATGGTCAACATTGTGGGATTGCAGTATTATTTAGGCACAATCAATAGAAGAGAAATGGTGGGTGTGGTTCATGAACCGTTGAATAGATACTCTCTCTTGATCGCAAGGCCAAGTCTTCCAAACCTATTGAATTCATTGATGGAGAAAAGGGTTTCACCTACGACGGCCTGCTGCGAACCTACAACAACTATGCTGGCGATGTTAATCACGATTTTGATTCGCTTGTCCTCGAGCTCAAACAGGTCAACACCAATGAAGTTTCACTTCCCTCTAAATGTACCATCTTGAATTAAGGCCACAAAAAAGTAGAGGTATTTGTTTCACCCTAATCTTGAGTTCAATTCATCATACAAGCTGAGCATATACATATATATAGATAATACATATACATATATATAGATAAATACATATATATATATATATATATATATATATATGTTATGTATATAGTATATATATATATAAAAGATACATAAATAAATATTATATATAATTGTAAATTTATAAAGTCAAAAGGGTATTCAAGTCATTTCAATCCTTCTGTAAGTCAACATAGAGTCAATGGATGGCAATGTCATTTTACATATAAAAATTCACGTTTGGGGTGTGAGTGAAATGCAAATCAAATATTTGTAATGTGAGTGAAAGTTAAAATCAAAATGTTTATCTAGGTGAGATTTGACCTAACCTGAAGGGGTAATTTACCCATATATGTATATATATAAAATGAATTATTATATTTTAAAACCTATCCCATAGGCTATATATACAAATTCAGCCAAAATTCATATATATTTTCATTGTCCCAATTAGTATTATGGTATTTAGAGGCCCATTTAACAAGTAAAGGTGGCCCATCGGCCCACATCATAGTTTCATCTCACTATCTTAGGCATTAGATTAAATTTATAACAGCTTAAAAGGGTTAGAAAAAAAAAAACCCTAAAAGATTGCCGCAAGAGGTTGCACCTAGATTTTTGGAAAAAAAATGTTGCAACCAGGTTTCTCCATCTTCTCATGTTCAACAATGATCGGTGCCTCTCATTTTAAACCTTCAGTGTTTTATATTCTTTGACAACATCAATGGACGACTAGTGAAATCAGTTGCGATCGAAAGGAGAATGATGCAAAATTGTGGATGATTTCAATCAATCTCAAGGTATGCATACATATATAAGCTATACATTTATAATTTTATACATATGATTTGTTTGTGTGCATAAACTGTATATGTATACCTAAATCTATCATGTATTATATATATATGTATATCTGATTCTGCCCTACCCTTTAGCATCTCATTCTGCCTCTCATGTTCTGTATGTGTATATATATGTTGGAAAACGAGCCCGAGCCTTTCTCAGTAGATACATGATTTTTTATTTTATTTTCATTTTTTTGGGGAGTTCTGGGTGGGTAAGAATTGTTGACCTTTCTCAGCTTGTATTTATTATTTATTAATTTTTTTTTTTTTTTTTTGTGGAAAATGGATAGAAATTTACCAAGTATAGTGTGTATATGCTATTCAATCATGTTAGTCAATGAACTATCATACTAACATGTATGTATTTTATCAAACCCGGTTTGTCAGTTTTAAAATTGGTGCAATAAAATATTAGCACTTCATTTAACTACTAACTGAAAATTACACATTATATACATTATTTCCCAAGTATTTACACTTTTTACTAGTAAATTGTCTTTTGGGAAATGTTTGAACGACTATTATCCTTTTTTTCTTCCTTGGGCCAATAAGTACTATCCAGTTTCATAATACCAAGTCCTATAATTAGAACCTAAATTTTGCAATTATAATTTCAGTTTACAAATTGCTATGTTATCAAAGAATTACTTTTGAAGTTTGGCCCAAACATGTTTAGTATTTTCTTATGAGTGTGATTGGATTCTTTTTGTCAATTCAAATTCAAATTACTATGTCGCCAAAGAATTACTTTTCATGTTTGGCTATTTAGATGCTGAACTTGCTTACTTGGTTTCTTCTTTTACATTCTGGATTATGCATTCGAATGTGTTTTATAGTGTTCTTATGTTCCATGCAAATGTGGTGAACACAAATAATGTTTGCTGTCATGTTTTCATGTAGTTATTTTTCTTTATTGTTAGAAACCTTAAAACATTTATCACATTGTTGAAGGACATTATCCTGCAATATTACCTTAAAACTTCTATGTATAGTAACCTTTTTATATGAATGAATTGATTTTTAATTTCTTATATTGTAGCTTTTTCTAACAGAAATTCTTGGGTGCAAGTGCAGGGTAATGACGGTGAAGATATAATTTCTAATTTACGTAATGGAGCTGCTGCTGAGAATGCTGTTGCCATTATGCAAGAAAGGGGTTTCTCCAATCCACGGAGATCTAGGCATCGTTTGACTCCTGGAACAGTCAAATTTGCAGCATTTCATGTTCTTTCCCTTGAGGGAAGCAAGGGTCTAACGATATTAGAAGTTGCAGATAGGATTCAGGTAACTCTAGGTTGGTGATAGTAGGACTTATTTATTTTCTATTATCCCTAACTCATCTAATACGTGTGTGTGTGTGTGTATATATATATATATTTATGAAAGAAATCTGGTCTTCGGGACCTCACAACAAGCAAGACACCAGAAGCATCTATTGCTGCTGCTTTGTCAAGGGATTCAAAGCTTTTTGAAAGAACAGCTCCTTCAACATATTGCGTACGTGCTCCTTATAGGAAAGACCCTGCTGATGCTGAGGCAATACTTTCCGCAGCCAGGGAAAAAATTCAGATATTTAAAAATGGATATTTCGATGGAGAAGATGCAGATGATGTTGAAAGAGATGATGCTGAAAGAGATGAAGATTCTGAGAGCGATGTAGCTGAGGATCCCGAGGTTGATGATTTAGCTTCTGAAATGAAGCCAAATGAAGAAGTTCTTTCCTGTGAAGCAAAAATATTTCAGGCAAGTTCTTTCCCTGGAAATGGGAAGGAGGCTTCCCAAGATGAGGTTATGGAAGCTCCACAAGGCGGCTTTGGGACCTCAGATAATGGTTTGCAGTTGATGCAATCTGAAGGATTCAGTGAGGTTAAAACTTCTCGCACTTCTGTTGATCAATCTGTTGAAGTTACTGGAATATGTAATGAGGCAGTTAATCCTGATCTAGAAGACACTGTTATTGATGAAAGTAATTCTGGTGAACCATGGGTTCAAGGACTTATGGAAGGTGAGTACTCCGACCTCAGTGTGGAGGAGCGCCTTAATGCCCTTGTTGCCTTAATTGGTGTAGCGAATGAAGGGAACTCGATTCGTATCATTCTTGAGGTAGCATTTTGTTTTCTCCTGGTGAATTTTGAAAAAATTACTGTTTTTGCATTTTATTTGTCTGTGATCTAAAACAAGGGAGCTTTTCAGGAGCGCTTGGAAGCAGCAAATGCTCTCAAGAAGCAAATTTGGGCAGAGGCGCAACTTGATAAACGTCGATTGAAGGAGGAGTGTGTGATGAAGATGCAATATTCATCTTTTATTGGTAACAGGGCTGAACTAAATATTTCAACTCCTGCCGCAGAGGGCAGGCAAAGCCCATTGGTCACTGTTGATGACAAAAATGATGTGGCCTCAGTGAACCCTTTTGTGCAGCAAGAACATTTCTCTGATCTTCGGAGTGATAATAATTGCGCTAATAATTTGCCCTCTGAAAGGACTCTGCCAATGCAAGAGTTCTCTACTGGTGTAGAAAATCTTCCACTCCAGCAAGCTGTATATGTTGCTGAGAAGTCACGATCTCAGTTAAAAGCTTTTATTGGTCACAAGGCTGAGGAGATGTATGTTTACAGGTCATTGCCTCTTGGGCAAGATCGTAGACGTAACAGATACTGGCAATTTATAACATCTGCATCTCGAAATGATCCTGGCTGTGGGAGGATCTTTGTTGAGCTACGTGATGGTTGTTGGAGGCTTATTGATTCCGAACAGGTAGTATTTTCATTACTGACTTTTATACGGTTTATCTCTATGAATGTTGTTATAGTAGATTGCCCAAGTTTCTATATTATATGCGTCTATTAGTCTTGACTGTGATCTTCTTAGTGGTTACTTTGTGTTCTTTTGCACCTTTTCATTATTTAGTTTAAAAAAAGAATAGGTTTTTTGCTTAGTTTCTTAATGAAGGTACAGGCTAAAAAAGGTTTTTATATTTGTTATTATTATTATTATTATTTATCTTTGTTTTTGTTCTGCAACTATAGTACTCTTGGGAAGATATAATATCGCATGCTAGATTGCAGAACATTGGAGTGAACAGGCAATTGTTCTTGTGGTTGGTAAATTCTAATTCATCACGACAAGAGTGACCAGATGAATGCATTAAAATTAGTTTAATTTTTTCCATGGTATACATAGGTACTCCATTTGCACGTCTCTGTCATCTTCATGTGATTACTTCTTATATTTGCAGGGCTTTGATGCTCTGGTGGCATATTTAGATGTGCGCGGGGTCAGGGAATCCAACTTGTATTCGATGTTGCAAAAGATTGAAGCGTCTTTCAAAGAAACTGTTAGGAGAAACTTGTTGCGTACCACCACTGGTGGGAAAATTTGTGATCCTATCAAGAGAGAAGTTGTTACTGAACTAACTCCTAAGCCTGAATGTGGAGCCAGTGTTGATGTTCCAAGGGATGTCTGTGTTTCTAATCCTGATATGCCAGAACCCTCATCGTCTTTTGCCATTGGGCTTGGAAAGAATGAAACAGAGGAAAGAGATGCCTTGAGCAGATATCAAGATTTTGAGAAGTGGATGTGGGAAGAATGTAATTCTTCCATATTATGTGCCATTAAGTATGGAAAGCAAAGATGCAAGCAACTGTTGGACATTTGTGACTACTGCCGTTATTTGTATTTTTTTGAGGACAACCACTGTCCTTCTTGCCATAGGAACTTTGGCACTTATGTTACTTGCTTACATTTTTCTGAACATGTGGCTCAATGTGATGAGAAATTGAAAGGGGACTCTGATTGGACTTTGCACGGTCTGGATTCATCCCCTCCCTTGAGGATCAGATTGCTCAAAGCACAATTAGCATTGATAGAGGTAAATTTTCAACCTATCTTACTTCAACAAGTGGTTTATAACAGCCGCTATTATACTCTCGAGTTCAAAGAAAATATATATTGCTTTTTTAATATAATATCATTCTCATTTTTAGTGTGTTTTATAGACGGTACATATTGGCTTGGCAGGTTTCTGTTCCAGTGGAAGCACTTCAACCTACTTGGTCAGAGGACTGTCGAAAATCTTGGGGTATGAAACTGCATACCTCATCATCAGCTGAAGACCTTCTTCAGGTCTCTCTCTCTCTCTCTCTCTCTCTCATTTGTCTGTCTTGTGCTGTGCTATGCTATGCTCTTGTTGTTTTGGAACTTCTGCATTTCCTGTTCAGTAGTTAATTTGCTGGATTATATTCTTGGATTGGGTTGGAGTTGATTATGAAATAAGGTCTATGTTCATTTACTCGGTTTACTTATGTCAAATGCTTTTGTGTAATCCAATTGCTGGACATCTATGATTACCAAATTTTAAGGTACCATGAAATGGCTTGAAATCTGTCCGAAAGTTAACTAAGTGGACATGTTTTACAACTTTAAATATGGTATATAATTAATTTATGATGTCTTTGTTTTTGAAGGATATACTCAATTATAATTTAAAACAGATGGGATGCGGCGGAAAAAAAGGTTTCTATCTATCGAAGCAGATACACAATTTTTTCCTGTCAAATTTATTTTGATGGAAACCTTCTTTACTATCAAATTTTTATTTATTTTTTATTATTATTATTTTATTTATTTATTATTATTTTTTTAAATTTTTCTCACTTCATTAGATGTAAAGGATTGAGGTGTCCCAGTTGGTTGTGTTGGTCACATATCCCATACCTATGACCATATCGTTTCATGTTGGCAGAGTCATACGGGTACGTTGAGAGGAATAAGAGAGTCATGTTGCACATGTTAGGATTAATTGGTGACTTGGTGTAGTAACAGAAATATACCATGTGTAGCCATTCTTCACTTCATCCATTGCCTCCACAATGGGCGTAAAATGGAGTGAGCATGACCGAGCTCCTATCTGATTCAAAGTCCATTTTTTGGATTTATTTTGGATCCGAATTCCAAATGGGTCTAGTATGGATCTTCTTGGAAAGATCCATCATGGATTTGGGTTGGATTTGAATCTGAGAAATGATGAGATGGATCAGGTTTCACTCTAGTTCAATTTTTCGATATGAGAATCTTGTTTGGATTGTGTCCATAGAATCCAGAATTCGGATATGAATCAATACACTAAAATATGGATCTGGGAGGAGCCAGATTTTACCTTAGAGGGGGCAACAACCTTAAAATAACAAGTACGAAAACTTAAATATTGATTGATGGATTCCCTATGTTCACATTTGGTTAAGCATTCAATTTGTCAATATGGCTTATGTTCAATTTGTAAAATCACACTTGAATTGTGACTCATTTAAATATAGGAATTCAAAGGTCAAGAATTTAAATGTTTAATTTGTGAAGTCAAGAATTCAAATATGTAGGTGTTGATTAGCATGTGCCCGAAAATTTTGGAATGATTGTTTGTGTTCATCGAATATTTTTCATAATAATTCGGATTTGGTAACTCTTTGGAAATGGTTTTTATAGAACAAAGTTACAAACACAAATTATCTAAAGTCTAGTTTAGAAAAAGAAATACAGACCATAAACACAAGGCATAGAAAATTAGGCCTTTTTTTTTTTTTTTTTTTTTTTTTTTTTTTCCGGGAATTTTGAGAGGGGGCATCTTTACAATTACTAGAAAATTACACATGAAAATCAAAATACAAAAAGTTGAGTCTGGGCACCATTTGGCTCCACCACTGTCCAGGTCAGTTCCATTTCATTTCTTATCTCCACACCATTAATTTTTGCGTGAATGGGTTAGGGGAGGACCAACATTTGGGTTCCATGTGTGTGTTTGACGTTGATCTCTGCTGTAAGACATCCATGCTAGTTCATAGCCTGAGTGAGTCCTTCTGTTTCATGCAAATACATATAAGACTGGTCTGGATCTAGTCAAGCGCCCCATATTGACGTGAGTGATACCAGGTAATTCATTGATTGATCTATTGGGGGAGGCTTCAGGGTCTTGACCCATGCAGATAAATGGGTTTGGTATTGGCTTTTCTTGACCCATAAATTGACAAGTTGGAGCTAACAATGACCCTCCATGTCCAAGATACTTGTATTTTAATATAAGCAATATTTGTATTTGGTAATTATTGATTTCAACTTTAGGCTTTCATTTAACAAGTTCTTATTATATAATTTACTAGAAAACATTTTTAGTTATTATATAAGTTGATCATTTATGGTGATCGCTTCATACTCTGATGAAATTTTTATTTAGACTTTCTTTACAAAATTGAACAGAATGGTTCAATTTAAGTGGTATTTAATTGAGTCTCGCTCTCTCTCTAATGCTGAATGATTGGAGTGACAAGAAGTTAAAATAATGTTCAAGGATATACGATTTGCAGCAGTGTTACGGTGTTACCTCATCATTATGCTATTATTGATTGTTTTAATTGTTTATTGAAAACGATGACTTATCCTGTGTGTTATTGATGTAAAAAAGCACGGTGTACTGGTTTACCCTAGGTGGTGTTGTTTATGGGTGCATTTATTAGCTAAATCTGTAGCTCTAACGCGCTCTACACACCACCCCTTTTTTCTTCCCCAAGCATGTTGTTTCTTATGCTTGATTTATTCATTTGTTCTCTCTTTTTTCTTGAATTATCTCTGTAGGAAAGATCTCTCTTTCAACTCAGATTTCTTCTTTATTTATAAAAGTCTCTCTATAAAAACAGGACTTGTGTTGAAGTTGTCTGGAGTCGGTCTTTGTTTTTTCTTGTAATACCTTTGGCATATGGAATTAATATGTTTTTTTTTTTTCTTTTTTTTTTTATTCCTTCCTGTTTTGTCCAGATTCTGACATTGTTGGAGGGTGCCACAAAGAGGGACTTCCTGTCCTCGAACTTCGAGACCACTAATGAATTGTTGGGTTCCAGTAATCGATCAGAATTTGCTGCTAACAGTTCTCCTTGTCCTGAAATGGTTTCTGTGCTTCAATGGGTTCCTCGAACAACATCTGCTGTGGCTTTGAGGCTCATGGAACTTGATTCATCTATTTCTTATTTGCCGCATCAGCAACTTGATTCTCAAAAAGACAAAGGATCAGTGGATTTCACGGTGAGTACCATTTTATCACGTCTGGAATTGAAAGTTGGGAGTCCAGGGTAGAAAAATTATGTTGAATAAAATGAAAATTTAGAAATTCATGCTTTTTAGAAAGAGAATTGTCATTATGATGCATACTCCTTGTGGATCCTCCCTCACATCCTCTGGGTATGTCATTTTTCGTTTTTCTTTCTCCTGGGGAAGAATAAACAAAATGCATGCATTAAGGAATGCCCTAATCCCATGGCCATACTGCCACGGTTTGATAGGCAATAAGCAGAAGTTAAGCTTTTTTTACTTTCCCCAGGAGTATGAGATGTGAAGTTCCAAAATTTTTTCCCACAAAGTGTCCAAGTACGGATGTAGTAGCTTGTTCATCAAAGTACAAATGCGTACATTCAAAATAACATAGTTTAAGTTGTGTAGCCTAGAATGCAAAGTTTTAATTTATTGGGAAATGTTTTTTTTTTTTTTCTTCTTCTTCTTCTTAAAAGAAAAATAGAATGCAAAGTTTTCTTTATTGTTATCTGCCCTAATATTGACAAGCAATTTGTTGGTGCAATTTCAAAACTTTTAGTTAAATGGAAGAAGAATGGTATTCTATGACATCAGTTCATAAGACAGATCTTTTGACATAAAGTTTAAAATCCCATGTCGATAAATGAAGTCCCAAGGGTTTTTTTTTTTTTTTTCGTCTTTAATTTCTTTTGGCACTACAAACATCTATCTAGTTTTAGTGAAATAATAAAAGAATTATTTTCCAAAGCGAAGGAGGAATAGAAATTATCCAAGTGAAAACATGCATCGTTGAGTCTCATTTCCTTGATGGATTCCTTTCTGAAGTTGGTATTCTGAGGCCTAGGTGACTACGAAAGCGTTTGATTCCTCAATTATTTTGAGGTCTGTGTTTAGGGTGACGACTTAATCATTAGCTGCACCTGAGCATTTTCAGTATTTTGTCTTTGAAAACTTTGAGCACTTCTTAATTCCTGGAGTTTGTCTCTTAGAATGATGATATCCCCCCATGGTCTTTTTTTAGATAAGGGGTTAATGGGTGGGGCACCCAATTTACCGAGCAGGTCCAAAGATATATGGTGGCTTGGCATCACCGAGGAGAGATATTCTCTAGAGTTTAACTTGTATTGTGGATATCTGTTACAAGCCAAATTTGTGTTCGGATTAGCTAATTTGTTTCCAAAAGCGGTGCCTTTGTAACATTTCTCTCTTCTCAGACTGTTCCATCAAGATATGCTGTTATGAAGAACTTTGCAGAGGAGGACCTGGTAGAAACTCCACTTAAAACTGAAGGTCTGCAACATGAGCATTGGGCTAATCCAGGGAGTGGACATACCAGTTCGGGACGAGGACGAGGAGGGCGTGGTCGAGGCCGTGGCCGTACTCGTGGTGGCAGATCTCAGAGAAGAGTCACTGGTTCTAGATCTGAAGCTGGCCAGATAAGCACCACAACGAACAGCGAGAGATTCGGACAATTACTGGGATGGAAAGGGCGAACACGTGGAAGAGGAGGGCGTAGGCGGGGTCGCCGTACCATTAGAAGTAGACAAAATCCAGTGAAAAGAGTGGCAGAGATTGCTGATCAGAGACGTGTACCCAGAGGGTTCATGTTTGAAAAAACCCCAAGAAATTCAGGTGGGGAGTGGGCGGAAGAAACCCCAGGGATGCCAGTTGAAGCCACTGAAGATGCTAGCAGCTCTGGAAGATCGGAGTATGATGATGACAACGGCCAGGCAATGAGGGAAGAGTATGACGACGATCTAATGGACTATTCTGGTGTCTTCAGTGGCAAGTCGGAGCATTTGCTGGAGGGTGTTGATTATAACCTAGACGGTGAAGATGATGAAGATCGTATGGAAGAGGGAGACAACGATGTGGATGATGAGGATGAGGAGGATGATGACGACGAAGGAGATGACAGTGAAGACGATGAACAGGTAGATATAGACGTTGAAGGATATATAAACGGTGACTCGGATGAAGAAGGTAGCAGGGGCATCGGTGGGGAGCAAATAGGGAACCCCGATGAGGACACAGGATCTACATCCTCAGATTACAGTGAGTGAGTAACAAACGTCACGTTATTAAGCTTGAATTATTTTTGTTTAGAAGCTTTGGCACTGCCTATGTGAATTTTAACTTCCTGTATATTTATAGAGGGATTGGTAGTTAACTGTACTAAGGATGTGTTTGAATGAGCAATGTTGTAGGTTACTGTACTTGTAAGTCATCATAATTGTAATTATACCATGCCCATATGGCTCGTGCAACTATAAATAGATGCTAATGGTTTAGTTTAGCTGATTGCATTCCTACTTACACGATATTATACCATCATTATATATACTTGTATAACCAAAGGAAGGATTTATATATTTTTCTCTCTTTTAAGACCATAGATCTTCTAGACATCCACCTCCGTTATCCTGTTAGGAGTGAAAGATGATGTTACATGTATCGAGGAGAATTTATAGACCTTAAACATGTTTCTTTTATATATATATATATATAAGGGTTAAAGTTATAAAACCCCCGCTATTTTCAAAATTTGATCATAAAACTCAAACATGTTTTTGAAACTTCTTGCACTTTTAAAAAATGGTCACATTACCCATCCAACCCGTTATCAGGTTATGAGATGACAAATTTAATTTTATTATTTAATGTTATATTAAAAATTAAATATTATTTTTTTAAAATTACAAAAATAACCTTTAAAATTTAAGAAAATTATTTGAGAGAGAGAGAGAGAGTGTGTGTGTGTGTGTGTCTGTGTGTGAGTGAGTGAGTGAGTGAGTGGGGTTTTAGTGAGAGGAAGGGAGTGAAAAGAAGATTAAAGGGTATTTTTGTAATTTAATTTAATTTATTTAATTTATTTTTTGTTTTTAATTTAATATTAAATATTAAGGTTAAATTTGTCATTTTATAACCCCGTTAATGGGATCATACATGGATTTTAGGGCAATGTGATTATTTTTTTAAAGTGTAAGGGTTCCAGAGACGGTGAGATTTTATGAACAAAATTTAAGAATAGTGGGGGTTTTATAATTTTAACCTTATATATAAAGTTTAAAAGGGCTTATATATATATATATATATATATATATATATATATATATATATGTTGTGCTCTACAGAGTCAGAAACCTTAAGCAAAGTGTCTACCCTCTCTCACTTTCAACAAATATTTCCAAAACATGGAATGATGCTACTTAGGTACAAATCCAGATGGAAGAAGTTTGGAACATTTCAAAGTCATGAACCAAACAATTCACAACCTGTCTTTTACTTTGAATAAATCCAAAAAATAGAGAGAGCACTTTGCAGTTTGAACATTGGGCTTTTAGTGGCCCAAATGTTCTAATATTTATGACTCTTTATTCGGACTCTTAAATGGCCCAGATCATGTGATTGTTGGGCCTCTTGTCTTTGGGTGTATAAAAGCTGGACTTGTCTAGCACATTATGTTGTACAATACACGATTTCACTCAATCACACGTACCACTATATATTTCTTTAGCAATTTCGTTCACCCCCTTTTTTATTTTTATTTTTATTTTTATTTTATTTTATTTTTTTTCTGTAATTATATGACCTATATTTTATATATACATTTTGCGGGCAACTTGACACAAGATTAAAACACCTCCGTCTCCTTTGTATGTGTCCAAACAAGACCCTCTCGGTTGTATTGTAGAGTGGTATCCGATTGAATGTATCTGTAATAAGAAAGTCATATTTTTTTATAAGAATAATGATTTAAGGACTCGATTCGGTAGTTCGCAAATTTAATTTATGTGAGTGGGGTGGTGGCCCCACTATATGATGTCATCATGAAATTATGTGATGAGACCAACCTCCCCTCTGACATAAATTACATTCGGTAATTGCTAAATTCGATCCCTAAATCACTGTTCATTTTATAATGGTCATTACCACGCCTTTTTTATTATTTATTCTCAAGTATGTTTTTTCAAACTTATTTTGTTATCACAATTTTAATATATTGTTTATTTAAATTTTATTTAATTATTGTTCTTATTATCATGTTTATATGCTTTATTTGTTTATGGTTTTATTGAAAAGTTGTGCTCTTGAAAAATGTAATGTGAAGTTCATAAAATTAAATTATAATTTAGTATTACAGATAACACATCTGATTATAAAACAGCCAAACAAGCTGTCCTTTGTGACAATTATTTATTTATTATTTTTTGGCTAGGTCCTTTGTGATATAACAGTTGAAGCTGAGGAAGTAGATGAGCACTCACGGAGTGTACATATATATATATATATATGGAGCTACATTAGGGGCAAAAAAAAAAAAAAAAAAAATCATATATTGATATTTGGAATTCAAGTAGATCCTACAATGGGGTATGTCTAATAAAAAATCACACTGGTAAACTAAGAAAGAAAGTTTATGGCCCATACCCAACATGAACAATCACATGTCAGCTGAAAAGATATTGCATCAACATAGATGATATTTAGGAAATTTGTGTTTTTATTTATTTATTTACTTTTCAAATTTAGGGTAAGAGAGATTCGAACATGGCACACTGTTTGGTCAAATACTAATTGATAAGGTAATATTATTCTATCTTGCAATTCATCAAAGTTGAGAATGCTATTTTTTAAATTATGGAGATTTTTGTTATTCTGGCATTCTAAGAAAAGGTTAATGTAATTTATTTATAAATGAATATGAAACATCTCATGTGAATCTAGAGTTTTTATTTTCTTGACAAATAACTTTCAGAATGTTGTTCTCACTCTTACTTGCCAAATATATATATATATAAAATAAAAAATTCTAGTATAAGCAAAAAGAGATATGTGTTTCGTGCCAATGTCAAAAAATAAAAATAAAAAAATAAAAAAATAAATAGGTGTATGTGAGAGAGAGAGATTCGAGAATCATAATGGATCACTACGTACAAATAATGCATTGATATATACTGCCAAAGTGCCAACCAAGTTCATCTCTCTTCCTCTGTATATAATATATATATATATGTGTGTGTGTGATCATATAACATGCATGCATACGTGTAAGACAGATATAAACAAAACAACTCTAACCACAAATTCTCTGTAGAATACCTTTTTCCCGAGAGACAAAAGGCTCTTGACCACAAATTCTTTGTCTGGCACTTGCCATGTTCATCAAATATCATTTCTAATAATGGAGATCGAATCCCGGCTGATAATTTTTTTGTCCCATTTCCAATCTGAGAAATACTGATAATAATGTTAACATTTCAACAACAAAGTCGAATTTCAGATTCGGCATTTCGTTAGATTAAATTTAGGGGTGTCAACTTGTATATTCAGGGTTGTCAATTCGTATTCATCGATCATAATTGCATATTGATTTAAGGGTAATTTATTAAATAGTTCAATTTGAACACGACTTATTTAATATTTGTGTTAACTCTTAACACTAATTCGACCTCTTTATTAAACGAGTTATACCTATTACCTATTTACTAAAAAAAAAAAATTATTAATCAAATTATTAATATTACTCAATCAAACAATAAATACAATTTAGAATAGTCGCTAGTCTACAAAAGAATGAATTATAAAATACAAGTTTAGATAGTTATTTTAGACTTAAATATAAATTTATTTATGATACGTATAGTTAAACGAATTATACGGGTTGAACTACCTCAACCCAAATATGACATAATTAGGGTTGTAAACGAGCTGAGCCGTTTGTGAACTACTCGGGCTCGGCTCGTTAATTAATTGGCTCGATTCATAAACGAGCCGAGCCTGAACATCAGTAGGTGCGACTCGTTTGTTCATGAACCGTTCACAAACTGAGCTCGATAAGCCGTTCACGACAATACTCGATTATTATATATATATATATACATATTCAATTATAATATATAATTTTATGTTATGAAGGCTAAGTCCACAGGCGCATTAAATTTTTTAGTTATGTTTTAGACTCAATTTTATTATTTATTCATTTTAAAACAAAAACCAAACCCATATGTACAATCAAACACAAGCCCCCAATTTAATCATTTATTCATTTTAAAATAAAAACCAAGCCCATCTGTACAATTAAACCCAAACCCATGTCTTATGTCTAACCCTAATCATCTTTCCTTTTTCTAAAATTATCAGTAACCCAAGCAACACCGGCAACACACTTAACAATTTGCTTTCTGTTATGGAATCTTACTTCTCTCTCTTTCTCTTCTTATATTTGATTTTTATGTATTAATTATCTTTCATCCAAACTGATTTTTAGTATAGATTTTGGGATTTATTATTGATCTGTGCATCTCTCAACTTTTTCCATTAAAATCAACTCTGGTAAGTTTAATTTTCGATCAAATTTATCACTTTATTTCTCTTTTTCTCCCAAACTTCTCTCTTTTATTGCTACAAATCTATTTCTCGGTTTTTTTTTAGATCAGTTAAATGCGAAATACCAAAAAAAAAAAAAACGATGAACAGAGCCGAGCTGAGCTTGAACAAAAATTTCTCGGCTCGGCTCGAGCTCAAGCCAAACTTGAGCATTCTATCACTTGAGCTGAGCCGAGCCGAGCTTGAGCACACCATGGCTCGGCTAGATTACAGCCCTAGACACAATTAACTAAACAGTTAATCGTATCAACTCGTTTATGGTTCAAACTCGTTTAAGATCAACACAAATCCGTTTAATTCGTGTCTTGTTGACGGTTGTGTCAAATTTTGTCACTCCTAATCAAATCTCACCTTTAATTAATTAATTATTATTATTATTATTATTTTAAGGTCCTTTTAAATATTATCTTAATAATACTATTATTCAGACAAATCACATCAAGAATAACAACAATTCTTGAATGGTCAGCTGTCAGCTTTACCAGTTCATTATAATATATATCTTGAAAACAATCATAACTCCAACTAAATGTATACCGTAGAATGTTAAATGAAAAATTAGGTTTAGGTCATTCGACAACAAAATCATTGATGATTTGGTTGCATTCACCAAATATTTGTTGTTTTTTCATGTGACAATGGGGTCATGCATGTTGCAATTTGAAAGTTCCAAGTTTCAGTTTTCATGTCTATGGTCACTAGGAACAAGTCAGAAAGATTGAGAAATAGAACCTAAATCGTAGAATGCCTATGGCTTGGTCCGGTTTAATCCATTTTTTTTTTTTGTGTATTTCTAATTGTGGATGTTTTTTTATTAGCCCCTTATTTTTTCGGGTAAGAAGGGGTAGAGAAAATGTCTCGAGCCAATGTTCGAGTGCCAGACGCTACGGTGCTGAAGTAACTCAA